TCTCCGACTCAGAATGGTACTATATATATATACCTAAATATAATACATACCATGAGCACCGAACTGTATTGGCATTGTTTTCCACGAGTTAATTCACTGTGATAGCTTTATCCTCCATGTTTATAGTAATTGTGTTGGCATTGTCTCCCTTGGTTATAGTACTTGTATTGGCTTTGTCTCCCTTGTTTATAGTAATTGTATTGGCATTGTCTCCCTTGTTTACAGTAACCGTATTGGCTTTGTCTTCTTCCATGTGTATAGTAACTGTATTACCATTGTCTCCCTTGTTTATAGTAACTTTATTGGCTTTGTCTTCTTCCAGGTGTATAGTACCTGTATTGGCTAGTGTTCTTGCATGTGTAAAGTAACTGTATTGACATTATCTTCCTGTATGTAAGTTATAGAGCCTCATAGCTTGTGTCCATCGCCCGAGATGAAACAACCTGAATGTAAAGTGGGGCATGAAATGGTTTATGTTCTTTCACTGAACCAGATGCCGTGTAGATGCGAAACACTAAACGAACTAGTTATTCTGCGGACAATTGAACTATAGGATGTGTGTGCAAGACACTACATCGATCAATCTGCTGTTCGGATGTTTGAACCAAATGGGTTGGATGCAGTTAACTTAAAAGTAAATGTTTTGTATTCAGGTTACTAAAGTTAATGATTTATATTCATTTAGAAGTAAATGATTTGTATTCAGGTTACTAAAGTTAATGTTATATATTCATTAATATAGTAAATGATTTGTATTCAGGTTACTAAAGTTAATGATATATACTCATTAATATAGTAAATGTTTTGTATTCAGGTTACTAAAGTTAATGATTTATATTCATTAATGAAGTAAAAGATTTGTATTAAGGTTACTAAAGTTAATGATATATATTCATTAATATAGTAAATGATTTGTATCCAGATTACTAAAGTTAATGATATATATTCATTAATACAGTAAATGATTTGTATTCAGGTTACTAAAGTTAATGATTTATATTCATTAATGAAGTAAATGATTTGTATTCAGGTTACTAAAGTTAATGATATATATTCATTAATATAGTAAATAATTTGTTTTCAGGTTACTAAAGTTAATGTTATATATTCATTAATATAGTAAATGATTTGTATTCAGGTTACTAAAGTTAATGATATATACTCATTAATATAGTAAATGTTTTGTATTCAGGTTACTAAAGTGAATGATTTATATTCATTAATGAAGTAAATGATTTGTATTCAGGTTACTAAAGTTAATGATATATATTCAATAATATAGTAAATGATTTGTATTCAGCCGACTAAAGTTAATGATTCATATTCATCATAATAGTAAATGATTTGTATTCAGTTGACTAACGTTAATGATATATATTCATTGACATAGTAAATGATTTGTATTCAGACGACTAAAGTGAATGATCTATATTCATCATATTAGTAAATGATTTGTATTCCAAACCACAGGGGAGTTCAGTGAAGGTGGTGCGGATAGTGATTTTGATATGACCGACACAGAGAAGGAGAACAGCCAAGATAATCTACTGGACACACCCGACAGGAGGGGAAGCACTGCGGAAGGGTATGCGTGCATGTGCACTACCCTTGTTGTGTGTGTATTTCTGCGCATATATTTAGATATATATATATATAT